CTGAGAATTGGATATGATACACACCATTGCAGTCTAATAGTGTTCTCTCCCTAACTTTTCTGGGAGTTAAATCACTATCTCTTCATCCTGGTTCATTAAAAAAAAAAGAGAGATTATTACTAAGCCTGTAAGGATTTGACTGTGTCAAACAGCAATTGTCCTTTTCTCCTTTTATTTTTTACTTTAGGTATATTAATACCCCTCCTGCCGTAAATAAATAAGGGGAAACTGAAAACTTATCCTGTCATTGTAAACAGTAATAATAACAATAAAACTCTGTGTGTATTTATATACCCAGTCTCTTATACTACAGAAATAGGTATGTATCTATCTAGCTATGTATGAATGCATGTAAAACCAGATGCCGAAGCTTATAAAGGAAATATTTCCTTTTCTTTTGGTTACAACTGCATTTGATCTGCTAATATTGGCCTGATTCTTTCTTTATAGAACAGAAGCTGAAGGTAATTTTCCATCCCAAAAAGTAATTTGTGTGCTCACACACACAAAACACACATGCATACCTGCAGAAACAGAAGACACAAAACAATGAAGGCAACAATTTTGCCAGAAATCAGTGCCATCAACATAAAAGCTATTTATTGGCTGTTTGCTAGGAAATACTACTCTTTCAGTAAAGTCCCAAAATGTTTGGTTTGGTACCTTGCCCATCAAAATAAATCAAGGCGACAGATTAGGAAGTACATAAAACTATATCTCTAGATAATGATATATGAGGCCACAATAAATATAAGTTACATGTTGAAGCTGCTGGCAGTTATGGTTGGAAACCCGTAACTCATTCATTTAACCCTGGCGGAATGTTTGTCTTTTAATTACAATTAAACAGCACACACTTGAACATTTTTCCTCCCCCCCCTCAACTGTATGAGGAGAAAGAAATAGGAGGGGGAAGGGAGAGATAACTAGCAAAACTGAGGGTCTAGAGCAGGAGCTGTAGAGGGGAGTTTTCAAACTTCTGGGATATTCTTTGCTTAAGCTAAACTATGTTAGTATATCAGGATAATCAAAAAAAGGGGGGGAGTATTATCTTACATTTTTCTCTCTCTTAACAGCCTAAGTCCTGTCCAACCAGACAAGCTCTCTTCAGCTTCTCAGCCTCTCCTTTTGAAAAAAAAAAAAAAGTTCTTTTCCTAAACAGCATCAGGGGATGGAATTTGGAGACCCCCAAGGAATCATGATGACTCTTTCTTTTTGGGCAGGAAATTTCTTTAAGCCCACCTCCAAGGAAAGAAGTAGGGTCTCCCAGGATGTGGGGGGATCTCCATTTGGCTTCCCCCTCAAGCTTCCTGTGTCCTATGGAGACCTTATCAAGCAAATGCAGGGGGCTGTCCTGAAAAAAGTTTTGCCACATAGCTTGGGCACTCAGAGGCTGTGAAACAAGTCACCGAGTTCCTGACATTCCTTCTGAAATATTTCTACAGGGGTCCTGTTTTTTAACCCCATCCACCACCCCCCAAAAAAGGAAAGCAAAGAAAATGGAGGGGGAAAGTACCGAACAACCTGATCTACCTACCAGGAGACAGGAAGGAGAGTCTTGGGTGCAATGGCTACGCTTGCTTGCGTGCAACGCAGATCCTGCCACAGTAGGAAGAAAACCTGGCCAACACAACGGAGCTGGAGGCCCAAAAGTACAGCCATCAAGCGAACCGCTGGCCTGCAAGGGTTCCCTCATTGGCAGTCAATGGCCAGAGGCTTCCAGCCAGGATTGTTCAGGAAGGTCTCCCTCCTGCCAGCGGGAAGTCTGGACCAGCTTAGAAGACCGGCTCCCCTGAACTGGCTGCCTTCGTCCAAAGGAGGAACTGCCTCTACACGCAGCAGAAACCCCAAAGCGTCTTGGCGCACCTTAACCAACGTAACCGATTTCTCCGCTTTGCCTCTTGGCCTTAAAAAAGTATATTTTTCTTTTCTTTCCCTCCCTCCCTCCCCCCCCCCCCCAGTGAAACATACGTGTGAAAGATGAAGCTGCTTATTTTGTGAAGTTCCAAAAAAAAAAAAGCGACTTACTTGACGTGTTGGAAACTTTGTTTTCGTCTGGAGTAGCCCGCTAGGAAACTTTTCAAGTGAACGGGAAGGAGGGGGAAAACCAAGCAGCAAGGCTTGGCCGAGACTTCACCCTGCCTGCTTTTCTCTGGAGTTATTTTGGTGACAGCACCAAGCGATAAAGCGCATTGAATCTGCCCGAAGCCCAACTCTCCCCCGCTTGCCTCTCCTCCCCCTCCCCGCGCGCCTCCCCACCCACCCGGCTCTATTACGAGGGAAAATTTCTCTACAAAGAGCCGAAACGGGCGATGCCTTTAAGTTTGTCTAAGGGGCACAGAAGGTACACGTTGAGAGACTTCGCTCAGGTCACTGGGGGCTCAGAGGTCAGCCTGAGCCGCTAGAATAAAACTGCTGGCCTAGAAAAGTTGCCCTCTCAGTGAACCCACTTTTTCCCCCTTTCCCCCCTCGAACTTCAATGAAGTACCTTTCAGGCTCTCAACATGGAAGCGTCAAAAAGTTGAGAAAGAAGAGAGGAAGAGGGAAGAGGGAGGTGGGAAAGATGATGATGGGAAGGTTTGTATCTCTTCACATTCTCTTCTTTTTCTTTTCTCTTCCTCCCTCTCCCCCTCCCCTCCCCTCACACTTCTTGGCTTGCCTTTAATCATAACCTATGTTCCCTGGAAAAATTATGTCATGCCCAACCAAGTCTAAAGGCTAAATTAGAGGATTAACAATAATATTAAAAACAAAAGAATCTGATTACAGAAGGGCAGATTGCAGGAGATAAACAGTGAAATGAACTTCAGGAGGAAAATAAATAAAACAATGCAGGAGAGGCTGGTGGAAGGGGATATAGAGCACTAGGAATATTATTCAGCCATATATTTAAGAGGTTGACTGAAAAGGTTTTTAAAAATGAATATGCACACTATAGAGTTGTAAATGTGATTGATGACCCCCCCCCCTTTCTCCCCCTGGCTTCCTAGGCAGACACAGCGAATGCCCCCAATACAAAGTCCCTCCACATTCAGAAACTGATCCTGGTCACAATGTATCAAAGTGTGTATGTGTGTGAGAAAGAGGGATGTTAAAACAATCCAGTGCGATACAAGCAGGCGCATCCATAGAGTCAGAACTCTTACTAGCTTAAGTGTGGAATATCAACGGGGTGGATGAGAGAGTCAAGAGTTTTTGCAAATGATGGCCTTTCCATTTTTACCATGAAAAACTATTTAGAACTTTGGATTTTTTTCAATCACTTTATTTGTATCCCTTATTTCACAGAGGGCCTATGTATAAAAAGTGTGTGTTTGTGTTTGTAAAACCTTTGAGAAAAACTGATTGTGCTTGTCTTCTTACAGCAATAGACCAAAAATAGTATATTTGAACAATGTTTTCCTTTTTTAATTGGGATATATTAAATATGTAGCTGAGGTCTTATGCACACACAGTAAATCTCAGCTGTGTTCAATGGCATTTCCTCAAAAGTTAATCTGCACAAGGCTGCAGTCTGAATGCTTACCTATTTCCCTTCTTGATCTATCAAATAAGGTGGACAAACAGTGTTATAAGGAAGCATTTTAATTTATAATTCCCATACACTCAACACATAAGTCTGTATTCCTTACTGGGAATGGTAAAAATAATGTCATGGTTTTTGCCTGGCTGCTCTGTCAATCATCTCAATATACATCAGATGGATTGAACAAGTAACAAGCTGAACTGCCATTCTCTTCAGCTGGACCTCAAGTTTCTTTGTGAAGTGGTTTGTAAATGAATCTGGATGATTACTGTTAGGTCTAATTATGCCCCATTTAAAAACCACAAAAGTTCTACATTAACCTGAATGGAATGGCTGAATAATCTGAATATGCCTGTCAGTCATTTCCTGGGTGTTCCGTAGGCCTCGGATGCAAAACTGATTTTCCTAATTATCATCAGAAGGTTATAGTAATATGCCCTTTTAAAAAAAACCTTTTCCCCAGTCCTTCAAATTCCTACTTTATGTGAAATGTATATATATTGTCTTATTTCACTATCAGTGCTATAGATAATCCACAATTTTGCACACCATTTAAAGATAACAATAATATATACAAATAAATAGATTCTTCTGCTCATGCAATGTAATGAATTTCTGCTTTCAAGTTGTTAAAAATTTAAGCAATGCAAACAAAGGTCATGGAAGTATCATCTAAAACAAGAGTTGAAAAGCATAATTTGATCACCTAGTTATTTTCCATTTTCAGGCCTGCTGATCAATAGGCTAATCAGCATACTAAAAAGGCACTTGCTAAAGTATCTATCTAGCTAGCTATCTCCAATCAGAGTAGAAGTATTCCTTGTGCAAACACATCTGTGCTACATTTTTCCCGTCCCCCTTTCTGCTTCCCCTCAGAAAGTAAACATCTCCAGATTCTCTACAGTACTACTCTTTCTTCTAGTATTTCCAATATATGCTAGAAACTTATTTAAAGTACAATAACAGGGGTAAATTTCAGCTAAAGTTGTTTACAGACAGCAAAAGAAAACAATTAACTTGATAACATTATTAAACAAAGGGAAAGAGGCTCCTGTGCCTATAAAATGTTTAAAAACACACATATTTTTTTTTTAAAGTAATGCACAAACACATCCTGAATCAGCTGAATCTATCTCTAATCAAACACACCTGTATACCTCCAGGGCAAAGATTGCCTGGTAGTGTGAGTTCAAAGGCAAGTGCCCATCTTGTGATGTCACAGAGTAGAAAGGGTGCAAGAGATACTTCCTAAAATCAATGGCAAATTAACAATTAGCTTCCAAGGCACTAGACAATTTTTTTTTTAAAAAAACCCCACACCTAACTAAGGAAGGTTCTTCAAACTTAGCTGAGAAAGAGTCATTACTCAGGTAATTCTGCCCATATTTATTCTCCCAGCATTTTATTTTTAGCAGGAGGCAAAGAAGCAAAATAACTCACCAAACATCCCAGAGTCAGTCTGTGTCACACTCACTGTTTTGTTTTGTTTTGTTTTGTTTTATTGAACAAGGGGACTTTCACATATACACTTAAACTCATTTATTGCAGGTTTACAATGATCATGTAAAATTAGTCCAAAAACACAAGAACCACGACGAAAAGCCAAAAATAAAAATAAAAAATCTACCCACTGATTTTTCCCTTCAACTGGCTGTTAGCTTGCTCTCCTTATCTCTTGCTGCTCACATTGAACTAACCAGACATTTATTAGTTTCTACTAGCTCGCGTGTGCCATCCCCCTTTTGTAAAAAAAAATAAAAAATCTTTCTCCACATTTATACAAGAAGAAAGAAAAGGAGGGGGAGGGAAGCCTTCAATGGTCCTCTTTTTTGTTCTCCATGTGTAAACCCAGAGAGCAAAATAATTACATTCTTTCCTTGCCTGTATAATTATTAGCATATGCCCCGATTTTTCATCTAAAACAGAACATTTAGTTCCCCAATCCAAACACGCACACTTATATACATACATACATCCCCATGCAGACACATCCTGATACACAGCCCATCCTTCCATTCTCTTTCCTTTTTTAAAAAATAAATAAAACCCTGAAAATGGTGATTAAAAAACCCCCCCAACAGGTATGCCACCTGGCCTCTCATGCTAATAATACATGCACCTAAAGCTTGAGATCTCCAATAGACCTCATTCTTTTGTGTATGTGTATGTATGTGTTTTCTCTCTCTCTCTCTCTCTTTCTTTCTCTCTCTTTCTCCTAAATATATATATACAGACGCACGAGAAAACTACGAGGAACCCCCCCCCCCAATATATATATATATATATTAGATTCTATAAATAATCAGAGTCAATTTGCATGGGGCGTTTTTTGTTGTTGGTTGGTTTGTTTTATAACCTTGTAATATCCTCTGCTCGTGGCTCCTGAACTGAGCTCTGCGAATGATCTTCGCCAGCAACCGCGTTGGAAGAAGCGGGCAGGGAGCCGGCCGAGGAATTGGCCGGAGCCGTGGATCTCACTTTGGTATTGGGCAGTCGGTGGTCTTTTTTCCATTTCATCCGCCGGTTCTGAAACCAGATCTTGATCTGTCTCTCCGAGAGACACAAGGAATGGGCAATCTCGATGCGCCTCCGCCTCGTCAGGTATCTGTTATAGTGGAACTCTTTTTCTAATTCCAAGACCTGCTGACGGGTGTAGGCAGTCCGGGACCGCTTAGGCTCGCCTCCATTGTAATTAGGATTCACTGGAGAAAACAAACAAACAAGCCAAACCAAACCAAAGATTCGCATGGATGCAAGGAAGCGGGGGGGGGGAAGTGGGGGGGGAGAGAGAAGAGCCGGCGAGATCTCCGGTGGCTCAGGGCGCCGAAAGAGAGAGGGAGAGGGAGAGCGAGATCGAAAGAGGGAGAAAAAGGAAAGGAAAGGAAAGGAAAGGGGGGGGGGGAGAGAAAGCCATCCGCCTACTGGGTTATAAAGAACCCAAGACTTTTTTTGCTCCTAAGAAGGGGTTTCCTTGGCTTGGAAAGAGCCTGAATTATTTATGCACCCCTCTCCAAGCCTTTGGAGTTTCACACATACATAACAGAACGAACCACATGGCTGGGGCTGCCCAGACTAGCTCGGCTATAAAATTTATGGTGGGTGTAATTACCCGCTCGGAGTCGTAAATCCAGCTCAATTGTGCTAACCCAAAGACTCTCGTCGAAGGCAAAGGAGGAGACGGGGGGAAAGGGGAGAGAGGGAGGGAGGGAGAGGGAGCCTGAGAGCTTGGTGGGAAGGGGGGGCCGCAAACACACACACACGAACACACACGCGTCTACACACACATCTGAGAGAAAAAGAGCAGAGGAGGAAAAGTTGCCTACCAGTACTGACGTGGATTTTTTTCATCCATGGGTAGACTATGGGCTGCTTAGAGGCCGTGCTGCTGGGATGCTCGGGGTTTTGCTGGTTGCAAGCTGGAGGGGCTGGGGAAGGAGAGGTAGCCGCGCTGGAGAGAGCCGTTTGGTCACAGAGCTGCTGCGCTTTCTCGGGGAGATGGTGGCCTCCGGGCGGCTGTCCATGGCCCCGTGGATGCGCGGAGGGGTTGCCGGGACCTTGGAGGCTGGCACAGCTGTACTGGCGCTCGGGGTAGCTGGGTCGCTGTGGAGGAGGAGGAGGAGGTGGTGGTGGTGGTGGAGGTGGAGGGTACAATTCCTGATGATGATGCTGGAAACTGGACTCCCTAGTCCGACTGTAATATTCCGGACTGTGGTCTGGGATGTAATTATTTTGCGAATATTCTTCGCATGGAGGAAATTTCGGATCGATGTAGTTAGAGTCCATCAAATACGAGCTCATGATCATTAATTTCTGGAGTGGAAAATAATTTTTCTCGCTTTGTCGTTTTTCTGCTCCATAAAACCCTCCTACTAGCTGGCGACCCCGTAAAGTTACTTTCACCATGTGACTCGTTGCGCCAATCACGCCAGCCGCGCTAGTCCCCGGATAAGGAACCAAAAGCTTATTCAAAGTGTATCCAATTTGTGTGCGCGCGCGAGTGTGTGTGTGTGTACACGAGCGTGTGCGTGTGATCTTCTTGTTTGGTAGGTGCTTTCCCCCCCCCACCCCCCACCCCCAATTCCAAGCAGAAGTGAATTTGGGGGAAGGGTATGTGATGCAGGCAACCAGAAATGGCCCTTCTCTTCTTTGCTTTTCCTTTTTTTTTTTTAAAAGGACCATGTCAAGTCAGGAAAATGATAGAAATCAACTCAATCATTTTATGGCAGAGAAATAGGAATGTGGGGAAAGCTTCTTCGCATTAGGTTTTCCCCGCCCCCACCCACCCACCCCCCTTTCAGGTACCCAGCAAGCCCTTTCTTGTACACAACCAAGTATGGAGTGAATCTCGCTTTGGAGAAACACCCAAGATCTCTTTTTGCAGTGCGGAGAGAGGAAGCGCGCTCAAAATTGCTTTGCTTGTTTCACCTTAAAGAATATCCGGGGTGGTGGTGGGTAGGTGGGGGGGTTGCCTCCGCCTCCCTCTCCTCTTCCCCAGAAACCAGCTAGTATATAATTGTCTGCAGAAGCGCCCTCTCAGCTCCTCCCCATAGACCTCAAGCTCCCTTCAAGACGCTCAGACCGAAAACTAGGAAGAAGTTCAAGATTTGCACGCCAATGATTTGTGGGCAAGAGCCGGGGGGGGGGGGAGAGACAAAGAAGTCAGCTTACCTGCGAGGGCGGAGGGGGCGGGGAAGATGAGCAGGGGCATATGCAAATCACCTTTGCGTCATTTGGAGTGTTCTTCCTAGAACTCCTCATTAACCTTTGCTTAAGGGCAATCTGAGTTGCTGATGGCTGGAAAGTAAAAGCGGAGGAAGTTCTAGGCAGCCATTGGGCAGGTCCATTACCTTTCCGAGGGTGAGAAGGGGGATGAGAAGGTGACAATATATATAAAATTTTGGAGAAAAACATGTGCACACCCTACACTCATCTGGACTGAATGTAAGACAGAAGAATAATAATATTCCGTTCCCATACAAGAGGTAGGTATGACCACCCCCCTCCCCCCCCCAAGTAATGGAGAAAGTATATAGGGCCTTAATTCAGAACATCTGGTTTCCTTATGGAAATAGTGGACAGAATATATACCCAGATGCCAATATAAACAGACCCCTGGGCAGGCTAAAGAAGTTGATCTGAAGCAAACATTTTAAAGTGTTCATTTATTGCAGTTAAGGGCTTTATCTATAGCCTACATGAAGGAGAAGGGGGCACCGAGAGTTGGATTAATCCCTTGTATTGCTTGATAACAATTATAGTTGAAAATCATAGCTTGCAGGGCATTGCAATATTTTACTTGATAACAATAAAAGTGACACATAAAGTTAACTGTTTATGTTTTATTTATTAGACTAAATGTGCCAGCGGTGTCGGAGGCTCTGGGCTGGTTGTAGCAGTTTTTATGGGGCTGTAAAACGCCATAAATCAGTCACTTGAAATGGTTAGCTCTCTCTCTCCCTCCCTCTCCCTCTCTCTCTTTTTTCTCTCATGCATGTTCTCTCTCTAACAAGGGCTTGTGCAAGCCTGCTTTTGCAATGCTGACTGTTTATTCTTTCCAAGAAAAAAGTAATATTTTTTTATTATCAGGAGAACTGTTTACTTTTATTTTTATTTTAACTATTTATTCATCACCTAGTTACGAGATTCCATTAGATCTATCAAAACTATACACACACAAAAATACACATGCATCACCATCCCCAAACATTTGAGATTTTTAATTACATCTGCAAGTAAGAGGAAATTAAAGAAAACAGAACATTAGCAAGCCTTTTGCATCATCCATATATCCCCCTAGAGACGAATTTGCAATAGAGGTGCTCACACAAATTCGATTCTACAGGGTATATATAAACGACTGATGAATTTGTCCTTTATGGGGCTAGAAAAACCTGGAAAATATATTCCTCCTCTTTCCCAATAAAGTTCTTTCTTTCTTTTCTTTCGAAGAGCAGCTGTTCAGAGTTTCAAAAAAAAAAAAAGCTTTTTCGTAAGTTAAACTGTTTCTAGTTGTGTACAGTTTTAGTAGATTTTAGCAAGATGGAACCCATTCTATCTTCACTTTGGTAATTAGGCCTAAGAAAGTGATTTCTAATTTGACTACAGTTTATATTTATTGCATTTGGACATTTAAAAAAGAGTACATCCAATAAGTACCTAATCAAGCTCACTCTCCCCTGTTCCTTTACTGAATGCTTCTCATGTGCAGTTCTTAAAGAGGAAAGTATATTCTGGGATGGTATTTTACTCATCTATGGCTATCTAATCCTTCATTTGAATGGTTGTTTACTGATTAACTCTGGAAGAAGAAAAGGAGGTTGAGATTGGTTTTACATTCCTGAGGGAGAAAGTTATTTATTACTGTATACAGTATATTCTATTCTATTCTATTCTATTCTATTCTATTCTATTCTATTCTATTCTATTCTATTCTATTCTATTCTATTCCCTTTCTCAGCCTGAAGTTCTCCAGATCACCTGATGGTTGGCTGCAGAGTATAAGTGATGTAATCCAACATACGTATATAAGTGGCGTATAAAAAGCAAAAGAGAAATAAATATTGTGAGATCAACTGGACAGTGCACCTAATCCTATTGATTCAGGTAACTGTCCATACGAAAGGAATTCTGATATATGCTTTGATAGGAACAACTTTGTCTAAGGCATCTGTTGCTGTGCGTGACAAGAAGAAAGAGAAGAATGTGTATGGGGGGGACTGTATTGCCTTAAAATCGTGGCACAGAAGATAGAGGAAATGTCAACTGAAAAAAAATAGGCAAAGATTTCTGCTTCTGCAACTATTATTAATGCAATCTCTCTCTCTCTCTCTCTCTCTCTCTTTCTTCTGAGACAGAGTACCCTAATACTGTTTCTGCTGGTGGTGATGGTATTATTATGCCTAGCTGTGGCATTACCACCAGCTGCAACAAGCAGCATTACAGCTGTTTCTTCTGAGCTTTGCATATCTCAGGACTCTTATCACAGATATACACTACCTTCTAGTGTATTTTATCCCACTGCATTCAGGGAGATCAGTTCAAGGGAATTGCTTTCCTTGCCTCCTTTTTATGTTAATGTTAATAGAATTCCTGTGATGAGAGAGAAAGGGAAAGAAGAAGTTTGGGTTTTAAGCACATCAGCTCAATCCTAAAGCTCAAGAACCTCAGGGCGGTTCCGGTTCCAGGATGTTCTGGGGTAAGAAAGCACACGTGAATGAACCAGTTTGGCAGGCACTGCAAAATTATGATAGCAATATGGCAGACCTCTTGGAACTTAGATGAACTTTTTAACTGTGTAGAAAATGCAGTGGCAGGATATGGCCCAATTCTGCAGGAATGTTTGAAAGTACAAAGCCAATCTGAATTTACTCCCTAGTGAGTGAGTGAGTGAGTTCACTTCCTAGCCAGCCTTTTGGTGTTGTTGTTTTTTCAAATTTATTTATTTTGCAATCAAATTATAACGGCTCCGTTTTCTTATTTGTGCCAATGTATCCCCTTCCCTGTTCATATTTTAACATATGGGTACATTCTTTTTAAGAAATGGTTTTTCTCTTGTAGGTTATCCCCTTCCCCCCCCCCCAAAAAAAGAAAGTCTCTGTGTGTTTGCTTAGCTTGATTCCTTCAGTGTTTGGGGACTTTTCCTCTTATTGTCCCCATCAAACAAGGCTCCAAAACCCTGTGGGAAAAAAAAAGACCATAGTGGGGCACAAACCTCTTTTGTTTCTATTTAGCATCCTTCTCTCCTTAGCCTCACTTTCTCCTAACCGGCAAAATACAACGGTGGGCGATACACATTATTCCTGTAATAATTATTCTTTTGCTCAGCAATTGAGAAAAGAGGTAGAACTTTTCAGGGAAATATTTCCTGACTCTTAATTCCTATCCAAACTAGGAAATCAGGTTGGAAAAACATGTATCTCTCTGCTTCCCATTTCCAGGACTATTTCTGAGTACAAAGCATCCCTTTGACAGTACGGAAGAAAAATAAGTGCCCATTGTCCCTGCGGATTCATTGTGCAGGCTATTACCATACTGACCGCTTGGTAACCCACACCTCTAGCCATTTACAATCTGTGCATCCACCCTCCCTGGGCAAATAAATAAATAAATAAATAAAAGCCTCCGCCATCCCCCAAATGTAGTATGGAGCCATCGAGGGTTTGTTATTTCCCTGTTTAGCAATCCAAATAAATATTAAATGAATAATCCCCCACCACACAAAGCTTTATCATGTGAGCCATATACTCTTTAATGTTAAGTATAACCAAGGCTATTCCTTAGCCAAATAAGGCAGTCACACACTTGCACACATAGGCGCAGTCACATATACACCGGTTTTTTTTTTTAAAAAATGCATCTCGAAGCTGTTGTTTGCAGACATCTAAAAAAAAATCCAATAATATAATTTTCTGGATTACACGCTTTTTCATGCACCAGAAATTACTTTTTTCCTAAGTGAACAAAACATTTCATCACTGACCAAGTGAGTTGGACACTTTTGGGATCAAAAGATTGTTCATTGACTAGATGGGAAGATCCATGTGCATGGGTATGGTGGAGAAAAATGTTTTTGGGAAATGGGGAAAATAAGATCAGTTGTACAGAGCAGAGTTCTTTATGACACTTCATTTGAATATCAAATAAATAATCCGTTTTCATTTTTTTTAAAAAAAAACCATAAATTTGTAGGTATGAAAAACCACAAAATCTTTCCATATTGGTCCTTCTTCCTCTTCCCCTCTCTTGCTCCCCACAATGTCGAGAGGTAGTAGTAATTTAGGCAAAGAAGAGAGGTAGTAGTAATTTAGGCAAAGAAATACGCAACTGTTTAATTGATTTTTTTTCTCTTAAGTCTGTTGTCACTAAAAAAAATAAATGAGTTGGAGTGATACAATTTAAATAACCAGAGCATACCACTAGATATGAAACTCACATAACCCCCACCACCCCATTTCAGTGTCATTTGTGTAAATATTCATTATCTTTATTATTAAAACAGTCAAATTCTTGCTATTTCCAGAAAGAAA